TTTTATTAGTTCTTCCTAGGAATGAGTGTGAGTAGAATTCAGTATAAACGGAATTCTAAAACAGGAAAGATACACCTAATCCACAATAAAGTGGACAAGGTAAAAACTGGAAAAATGTAATCAGTATCCTGACCTGAGGTAAATGGGATCACAGTCCACTCTGCACCAATACATACACAAACCACATGTATCCCCAGGGCAAGTGAAATATACTAGCCGTGTAAGGCTACTCCTCTCCCTAGTATAGATAATGGATAACCACTGGATTATCCAGACAGGTGCTTAAAATATTAATATACAAGCTTTATTAATTAGGCTTATTTGTAGCACTTTTGATAACCCTTTGTAGGTAAGTAGTGTACAAGTAAGTAAGTACAGCAGCACCAACCAAGCCTAGATCGTAGGTGGTCACAACCCAAGCCTTGGAATATAAAACTCACCCTTTAAGGTTTTCTCATGCAACTGAATTATTTCTCGATATAAAAACCATATGAGAAAAAATGAAGAATGAAAATAACATTTAAATCACCCTTAGGATTACCGATGTATAATAACATACTCTGCATGCACACAGAGCGTGGTCCAAGTAAGCACGTAGCTCAGTACATATTTACACATATACTAATACTCTAGGAAATCGAATTTAGTACCAATACACATCATTTATACTACAGAACACATCATCCAGAAAATATTGGATCACCAAGAAAATATAACCAGAACAGACGATCAATAGGATTGCTAATACTCCAGAGTCCCCTCATTTTTATCTTTCTGCTGGCCATAACCTCCTGCCAAAATCTCTCTCCACAAACTGCGATTGAACATCTCCATCTTCATTAACAATGCTCCCTAAATCTCATGGCATTAACTGGATTGTGACTCGAACTGACAGTGTAACCCCAGCCTCATTGCCCGCGGTGGCCTTTCACACTGTGAGACTATAATGGTGGTGGAGTTGGTTTATTATTTTCCCAGCACTGAGCTTTTCAATCTATACCCAACTCTATCGCTTCTCCTTCTCCCCATTGGAAACTCAATCTATCACTTCAATTCCATCACTGATCACACTGTCTTTTTCCTCATCTCTCCTCTCTTAGCTTCCTCTTGAAATGTCTCTCATATAAATCCTCCTTTGGTCTCAATGACTAACTAATACACATAGCTGGTAATACTCCAATCAGTGCACCACTTACAGCTTCTCTAACCCCAGATTTCTTATCTTTTATCAACATCTCCTAACCAGGGCCACAAATAAATATATAAACCCAGGAGGGGTGATAAAATCTATTTTATATATATAGTTATCAAATACCAATGTATTATTTTTATGCCTGCAATGTGCAGTTCATAAATTCATGAAAGTCACTTTTGGAGGGGTGGGGGGGGGGACGACAAGTGGAGCCTTAGGATTCTGTGCCTGCTCCTAACTTGTGATCTCACGGTGCCTCATCTCAATTACAACAAATCTATACCTATTTAAAATGTCTACTTTCATTGATCTAAACTTTCTAACAAAGTTCTCCGAACTCTCTCCTTCCTACCACCCTTGATACAGCAGCACCAACCAAGCCTAGATCGTAGGTGGTCACAACCCAAGCCTTGGAATTTAAAACTCACCCTTTAAGGTTTTCTCATGCAACTGATGAAGTCTTGCACCAACCAGACTTCATGTTTTACAGCTCAGCCATCTCCCTTCCTAAGCAGTCACACCTTACTTCCCTTGTAAGTACCTAATGTATCATGATCCTGTAAGCATTTAACTGGCCAATCCCCACATTCCTCTAACCACACAGCTAGCAACTTTGCAAGTTATTTTACTGACAATATGTATTAAATAAGGAGAGAAACCACCTCTCCCACTCAACTATACCTCAACTCTGTTTCATCAACTCTAAATTCCACCTCCCAGGGACAAAGTCTATTATATCAACCTGATGTTCCTCATTCCTTACACCCTACCCAATACGAATTCTCTAATTTTAATCCATTCTTAACTCACATATTCAAACTTTCTTAATTCCATCTTTCTCCTTTTGAATCACTTATATTCTCGGAATTCTAACTAAAATGACCAATGATTTTTATTAAAACCGACATTCTTAACTCTTAATTAATTATTACTGAACTCTGACACGTTTCTGATGACCACACTCTCACCCTTCGCAGTCAAATGAGAAGATGCGCTATCAAACTCTGTAGAAGCCTATAAATGTCCAGCACCTCGCACAGTAATATATGCATTTACATTTATATCTGATTCTTCTACCATTTATACAGATTGAGCTTTTTTTTTTGCCAGTATTTTGTCCTCAAAATATGCAACTTTCTGTATAAAAGTGGGATTAAATGTGAAGTGAGAAACATTAGCACATATATGATTACACTGAGACTTTATAGTTAAACTCAAGATACTTGTACTGACTTCTCATGGCACCAATTAATACTTTTTTATATTGTTTTTTTAATTTTATTTTATTTTAGTTAATGATACAAAGTGAAAAAAAAAAACTTTGCCATGAAAAGAGTTGTAGAACACAAGGTGGATATTAGGGATTCTTGGCTGGTTGACTCTGTTCCTACTGGTACCTGCTTGTAAATGGGTTAAGAAATATTGAGATAGGAAGAACAATATAACAGATATTGTGTGATTTTCAGAGTCCTGCATTGTGCAATGAAACATTTTGTGTCACATTGTCGAGGAGACCTTCATCAATGAACGATGACCTGCATTCCATTCATAGAAGAATCTCTTCATCTCCTGCTATATATCTTCCTGAGAGGCGAAGTGAAGGCCCATCAGACATTACTAGCCTTGAACCAGATTCATCAAAGACATTGTGGACATTCCACTGTTACATGACATATCACTACTTAAAGGAACACTATAGGGTCAGCAACACAAACATGTATTCCTGACCCTATAGTGTTAAAACCACCATCTAGCCCCCCTGGTTCCCCTCTTGCCACCTTAAATATAGTAAAATCATACCTTTTTTCCAGTCTGTTGCTGATGGTTCTACCACTGATCTTCCTGCTTGGCTGACATCATCCATCAGAAGTGGTGGTCTGAGCCAATCACAATGCTTCCCCATAGGATTGGCTGAGGCTGTCAAGGAGACAGATCAGGGGTGGAGCCAGCACAAGTCAAACACAGCCCTGGCCAATCAGCACCTCCTCATAGAGACACATTGAATCAGTGCATCTCTATGAGGAAAGTTCAGTGTCTGCATGCAGAGGGAGGAGACACTGAATGGCAGTCACACTGTGCAGCACTGCCCCAGGAAGCACCTCTAGCAGCCATCTGAGGAGTGGCCAGTGGAGGTATCACTAGGCTGTAATGTAAACACTGCATTTTCTCTGAAAAGACAGTGTTTACAGCAAAAAGCCTGAAGGGAATGATTATACTCACCAGAACGAATACAATAATCTGTAGTTATTTTGGCGACTATAGTGTCCCATTAATAAACTACTTGAAAGACAATCAGAAAGAGCCCTTTAGTAACAGTTAGAAAGAACCATGAGGATGTTATTAACTTGTCTCGAGTTAAGATGTTTAGGAATAAACCTTGTGGTGTGTTGAATGATTTAGATTTATGATGGATGGAGCCTCATCGTGATCAGTAATATTTACTGTATATTTGATGTCCACCATATACTGCAGAAAATACGAATCTGAAAAACAAAGAGCTATCTAAGAAATACTGGTGGATGAGGAGAAGACAGGATAAAGATTTGCCTCCTTTGTATCACACGATCAGAACGTTTTAATGCTGGTAACATAGATCTGATTGGGATTTCTGGCTTAAATATTCGTCATTGTTACCGACAATCAGTGTGTGCAGTCAGTATTCAGCTTAGGAGACCTATTGTGTTATACTGGGATGTTTAATCCTGACAATAACCATATGGTTAATTAGTTATTGTAAACCGTGTAATTAGACTGCCATCAGTGACAGCACTATACTAGTGCAATCCTCTGTTTGAAGAGTACGGTGAATAGATTTCCAGACTCCTAGGTTTCTGACACAGTGATATTGATAATCTAGGTTTCTCCTGTAAAATAGTTTAATCTGATGAATGCCTATCTCTGTTTCCTGCAAACTTGCTTGCACATTTTGAATTATATGCTTAATAAAACCATTTATAAACTATAAACAACACAATATTTCTTAGAATGAAGCTCTGGATCCACCCCCTACTACATTCAGGGGTATTAGAAGCATGTGAAAGATAATTATAACTAGGAAGGATCCATTTAACTTCCATAAACGTTCAAGTATTTTATTATTACTAAATTTAATAGATATTGTTAGGGAGAAAGTGCTATGGTTATACTGCCTGGAATACATCCTGCAACCCCGTGGAGTGAACACATGAGCTAGCTCACAAGCCTGTTATTACGACATTCAGACAAGCTTTCTTCATACGTAAGGTTCGCCTGAAATACACCAATCTGGAAGTGATGATTATAAATGATTATATACATGTTTTATTTGTTTAACAGTTTATTGAAAATGTTTCTCATTGACAGAAAAAGAAAGATACATGTATACAATAAACAACTGGAATTTGGATATGAAAGACAGGATACAATTCCATTGATCCTTAAATATGTAATCATCATAATCAATAATGTTTCTCATAGACCATAACAAGTGTTACTGGGAAAAAGAAAAGCTGAATAATATTGTACCAAAATGGGGCAAATGGTAGATAAGAAGCAAAGCAGCATTGTCCCAATATCTTCCCGATACCTGGCCCCTTCCCCCAAACAACAGGGATTTTAACCAAGTCTCCTTTAACCATCACGCAGCAACATTTGGATATTCTGTGAAGTGTTGCAAAATTCATCCCACAGTCCTCAGTTGTTATCATTTGCTTTCATGGTTTCTACTGCCAAGTGTGCAACTCGTTCCTATGAGTTATTATTTATAAGATTATTATGGATGTCAGTAACAGTAGGTACGTTGTGATCCCTCCAAGTACGTATCATGGCTTGTTTGGTTGCAGTGTGGCTCTATGGTACGTGCAAATGCACTGAAGCCCCAGTCCTCGCCAGGGCCGGACTGGGGAAAAAATTCGGCCCAGGCATTTTTTTATCACAGCGGCCCATTAAGAAGGGGGCGGGGCAGAGAGGGTGTGTTTTGTCATCACTCATGACAAACACGCGCCCTCTCAAAGTGAGCATGTTGGTCCAATGCTCTTCCAGGGCAGACCATGCACAGAGCTCTGCTGAAGAGCTCTAGCATGAGAAAAAAGCCCTGTATTTGTTCTGTGCAGTGCAAGCAAATTTAATAACATGCTTGCACTGTGTTTCCTTGCAACTTGTCTCTGGTGTCTCTATAAATGGATACCAGGAGACAAAAGGGCCAGGAAAGAGTATTGTGCATGTGTTTGGAGCCTGCTTGTGGTATTGCGTGTGTGCAGAGTGAGCTGGTCGTGGTGTGGTATTGTGTAATAAGGTCGGTTTTAGTCGTGTTGTGTTTGTGGTGTAATGTAATGCATATGTGGCTAGGGGCTGTAGAGAATGTGTCTATAGGGGATGTAGCAAGTGTGTGTATACAGGCTATAGTGTGTGTGTGTGTGTGTGTGTGTGTATATACAGGCTATAGTGTGTGTGTGTGTGTGTGTGTGTGTTCAGGGAATGTATGGGTTTGCTTACAAGGAATCTAGTGTGCGTATAGGGGATCCAGACTGTGTGTGTGTGAAGGACCCAGACTACGTATGGGAGATCTAGTGAGCGTGCGTATATAACGGATTCAGAGTGTATATAGGGATCTAGTGTGTGTAGATGATTCAGAGTTGGGTAGAGGATCTAGTGTGTGTCTGGAATGAAATGTGTTTAGGGGTGCTGTGTGTGTGTGTGTGTGAGGGGTGCTGTGTGTATATATATATATTATATAAATATGTTTGGAAGTATTGTGTATGTGTGTGATGCAGTGTATCGGGGGTTGTGTGTGTATGTGAGGGGTGCAGTATGTGTGTGTGAGTGCTGTGTATGATGTGTGTGAGTGCTGAGTGTGATGTGTCTGAGTGCTGAGCGTAATAGTGCTGTGTATGATGTGTGTGAGTGCTGAGTATGATGTGTGTGAGTGCTGAGTGTGATGTGTGTGAGTGCTGAGCGTAATAGTGCTGTGTATGATGTGTGTGAGTGCTGAGTGTGATGTGTGTGAGTGCTGTGTGTGTGTGAGTTCTGTGTATGATGTGTGTGAGTGCTGTGTATGATGTGTGTGAGTGCTGAGTGTGATGTGTGTGAGAGTGCTGAGTATAAATGTTGTGTGTTGGGGGGTAAATAAACAAATAAAAACCTAAGTGGGAATAAATATACAAATAAAAAAAAATAAGGGGGGTAAATAAACAAAAACACTAATCATGCATTATCTCCCCCCTTACCTTTAGCCTGGGAGGGGGAGGGGTCCGGCACGCTGGTGAGTGGGGGGTGGGGGTGAGTGGGGGGGGCGGGACCCCATTCACACACGATCCCTGGTGGTCCAATGGTGACTCTCGCGAGATCGGGGCGTTGCCATGGCAACGCTCCCGATCTCGCGAGAGGAACCCAGCGGAGCTGCAAAATAGAGCTCCGCCGGATCCTCTCCTTTTCTCCCCAGCCGCCGGTCTATTTAAATGGGCCGGTGAGGGAGAGCTTTGATCTCCCCACCGGCCCTCCATGGAAGACAGCAGGGCCGGCGCTCGCATAGTGCCGGCCCTGCATAGACCGGCAGGGGATGTCTTGGGACCTCCCCTGCCGGCCTCGGCCCATGGCCACCGCGGCCCACCGGGCATTTGCCCGGTGTGCCCGATGGCCAGTCCGGGCCTGGTCCTCGCTATCGGTAAGGTAGATACATTGATATCCATCTTGGTTTATGAAAGTCTACAGATCTTTTTTGATAAACACTAGGGCAGTGTCAGGAATGTAGAGGGGAAATGTATGCAATAACTATAGTAAAAAAAGAATATGAGAGCTCTGAGAATGGACAAGAGCTTAGATAAGCTCAGCAGCCTGCCATTCGGTAAATCCCCGCTCGAAACATTTTTGCTCACTTGTGCCATTACAAATAGAATGAGATCCAAGGCATATCAGACTGATCACACCAGTGGCGGATGCAGAGTCTGATCTCGGGAGGGGCACTTGTAGATTATTTAAATAAATAATCTAGACACAATAACCACTACAGCTCAGTGTAGTGGTTATGGTGCCAACAGTGCCGGGACCCCTCCCAGAGTAAGTACTAGTCAAACCGTTTAAGAACAGTTTGACAACTTACCTGAGGTCTTCTGGGAAATGGGGCTGTCATAGGGAATAGGAGCAGTGGTGTGTGTGAGTGGTGCAATGTGTGAGGGGTGCAGTGTGTGTGTGAGGGCGACAGTGTGTGAGCAGTGTTTGTGTGTGAAGGTTGCAGTGTGTGAGTGAGGATGGCAGTGTATGTCAGGGGTGCAGTGTGTGTGTTGGGGGGCAGTGTATGTGTGGGTCAGTATGTGTGTGTGACAGATGCAGTGTATGTGTGTATGGGGGGGCAGTGTATGTGTAGGGCATTGTGTGTATGGGGGTGCAGTGTATGTGTAGGGCAATGTGTGTATGGGGGGCAGTGTATGTGTAGGGCAATGTGTGTATGGGGGGCAGTGTATGTGTAGGGCAATGTGTGTATGGGGGGCAGTGTATGTGCGTGTGGGGCACGCCCCTTGTAGATGGTGAATCACAGGATCCTCCCTCAAATTATACAATTTAGAATAGAAAATAGCAAATAAAATAACAAATCCCTCTGCAAGTTTAGCTGGGTTCTACAGCTTTACTCCCGGGGCTGAAGAAACACGTGGTATAGTGTTCTGCCGGCTTTATTGCTGCTGCTATAATGTGATAATTGTAATGCTTTCAGAGCTTCTGATGAAGCTGTATCGTGGAGAACTCGTCTTTGCATTTCTTGATTTTATGCGAGGTATGCGAGGATATTTTGTAGGAGGATGTAAGGGTTGCTAGCTAAGTTTCCAAATGGGATATTTGATGCATAGTCGTGACACCTTGAAAACAATCAGGAGCCTAGGTTAGTGAGTAGACATGTGCAATTCATAGGGGTAGGGTTTGGGTTAGGGGTTAGCTTAGGGTTAGAGGTAGGGTTAGGGGTAGGCTTAGGGAACTGCCCAAGTCCCAAAGTGCCGAAGTCCGGAAGTGCTGAATTGCCCAAGTCCCGAATTTCGGAAGTGCCGAACTGAACCAAAGTGCCGAAGTCCTGAAATGCCAAAGTCACGAATTTCGGAAGTGGTGAGCCGAAGTGCTGAATTTCTGAATTGCAGAAGTCCCGAATTTGAGAAGTGCCGAACCGAAGTGCCGAATTGCCGAAAGTCCCGAATTTCGGAAGTGCCGAACCGAACCAAATTTCTTGCCCATGCGCATCCCTATTAGCGAGACAGTGTAGTATAGACTTAGCGTG